ATAATTAGAACAAGAAAATTGCTGTCCATGATATTTTTATTAACGCATACGATAAACTCTATTATTAGAAGTGTAGGTACTGTAGCGATTTTATGTACAAAAGTTCAGAAAAAGTCCGAACTGTAAAAACTGAAACGTTTGTTCAATTTTCATAATTTCAAGCACAGAATATTTGCGCTCATTTAGAAGAAAAGTGACTTTCACCAAAACTTTGAAATTTCAGAGTCATATATGGACTGTCACAAAATGAGCTTAGGTTGCCTTTGATTACTAATTATCAATTCGTTATTCGGAGACCTTGAGCCAGTTGTTATAATATGATTTCTTATATCACATTTAACCTCATTATCAAAAAGACAACGCTTAATGTCCATTCTCAGTTATAAATTCGCATATTCGAAATCTGCGAGATTACTAAAGCACCACTACCAACAGTAGTATATCATAACAACGACCGACGTCCTTCCCCAGTCATATACTATCCAACCTTACCATCCAGGCTAGTCAATCTTATTTTTTATTCCCTTTATCGYTACTGTCACTTTTCCACTGATCACCGATATACTTGATCCTCGCTGATGCAAAATTATAAACCTGAAAAAAAAAGAGAAAAAATTATATCAAAAAATAAATAAATAATAATAATTAAACAGTGCTCTTGTTGGACTATTATCTGTGGTTCTGCTTTTCGCATAATCCCAAAGGGTTCCCAGGCTCAGCACTTGAGTTGCTTTCATGGCGCAGGCAATGTTAAAATAGCTTTAAAATGAATTTGTTTTTAATAATAAAACTGTTTATACTAATTGAAGAAAAAAGAAAAAAAAGTATTGAGARGTCTCAAAAAATGAAGACATTTACGGTTTCATGAGGACTCGAACCGCGCACAACGCAATACATTGACACCGCCGTGAAAGCATCATAAATAATGAGCCTGGGCTCCCTGTGATAACCCATTTGTTGTAGCTCATGGGAATAGTTTATGTTCCCGAGATGAAGGTACTTCATGTCATATGGAAGGGTGTATAGTAACCATCGAATACCCCACAACAAATATATCATCCTAACTACACCACAGAATTGACGGAAATCTAATTACAAGTAATATATACAGCTACTTCAGAAAACGTTGAATACTGAATACTGTACTCTGCACAGTGCATTTCAAGACCGCATTGCATTATTGCAATTAAAGTCCACGTTAGCGACGTTGCAAAATGACTGAATTCTAAACTTAATTTAATATCCCCTGTTAATCCTACATAGGTACTGTGTCACTATTCTCTTAATTGCATCTAGGAATATGTCTTACGGCCCAGTACAATTGCCAGTCCTCGGAATTTTCCTTGTCAAAATATTTTCGTCCTGGCAATTACATACGGGGCGTGTAAATGACTTCTCTAGTCTGCGTAGCGGCTATAGGGGAATTAGAAAAACGCATTTCTTCTCTGCTGGAGTTGTTTTCATTGACCCGTGAAATACAATTTAGCGTTCTACATTTTATTGCTCCTCACTTTGAACGTTTTTCTTTGCATTTTCGTTTTATCACAAAATACTTCGCCTCATGTAAGAGAATCCAGATTCCGAAACATTGGATTCCGGATTCCAAGCATTGAGATTCCGGATTCCAAAAGTCCAAAATTCTTGCTGGATTCCAAATATATTTGGATGATACGGATTCCGGATTCCAAACCTGTTTTTTTTCTTTTACTGGATTCCGGATTCCGGATTTTTACATTTGAGCGATATATTGCACTTTGATTTTCCGGTTAATGCAAAACCACTCTGACTAGTAGAGTACAAACACTAAAACTGTGCAACGTAAATACCACTTAATACTGCTAAATTATGCTAATTCTATTGTTTTCTATGGTTTAATTAACACTATTTTGTAGTAAATAGTGCAAAGTGTTGCACACATTTAGAGTGATTTTCATAAACCCGTGAAAGTGTAATAATTAGAGTGTAATAGATCGTAATAGTCGCGTAGAGACAATAAAAAACAAAAGAGCCAAGGTGTATTAGCGATAAATACGCTAACGTGTGTTTCACGGGTTAATGACAACCACTCTAATGTTTGTACTCTATTAAGACTAAATATTACAGTAACTATCATGATTGTTTATTAGCCCCTTACTTGGTACAGTTTCTCTTTGGGTTTACAGTACGAGATTATTCTTGTTGTGGTTTGATAGAAGGATATCGCAAAATCCGACACTCCTTGCCAGGCATCTACGAATGGTGACCAAAATTATTAATACAAATATTAATAGCAATCCAATTTTTAGGAGGAGCCGACGGGTTCCTGGGAGAAATATATATCTCTTCTTGTGTCCTGGCCAGCCGTGAGAAATTCAGGTAAAAAAAGAACTCTGCAGACAAGGAATACTTTCAAAGAATTTTTGCCAGGAAAATAAAAATTTCTTAACTAAAAAACATAAGCTGTTTTTGACCATGAAAACGTTACTATAAGCCTTTTTKAAGAGATTTTCAACAATATGTAGCTCAAAATCCCTTTCCCAGGAAAACATTTGCACATTACAGTTATTTAGAAGAACAGACCCCGTTGGCTCCTCCTGYTACTTGACAAACAGCTTGGGCATTCAAGAGATTTAAAATTCTGAACTACAAGGTGAACCGTACCTTTGATATCAACACCATTGTGAATATAGTGRTTGACTTTTTCTTCAACTGTTTCAGTCTTTTTCCGAAGTATGTTGAAAAGCCGTTTACCAAGATCTGGGTCTTCTGGAGGAAATACATGCTTCTGTGGGTCTCTTTCACTGATTTATTTTAATAAAATTTATTTTAAAAGCATTCTCAATTTAAGTTTACAGGATAGTTCTATTTAACAATAAAGTTCTGGGATAATACATTTTTGTTTACACAACGTTTCGACGTTATCAAACGTCATTATCAAGTGAGATAAAATGCAAAAGTAAGGATATATATACAAGAATAATAATAAGTAAAAAATTATAATAAGAATAAGGTTAAAACAATGATAAAAAAGAATAAAAGAAAGACAAATAATAAAAATATTTATAAAAAAATTTTATAAACAAAAATGTATTTTCGCAGAACTTTATTGCTAAATGTTTTTCTAAAACTCTACTTATAGGATAACTATTGTATAACAAAAAAAAATAACAACAACAACAAACACAACATTGCAACAGATAACGAAACAGGCCATAACCCCAGAAGATCACCTTCTAAAGCCATTCATTTCTTTAAATAATTAATCTGCATTTGACAGGAAAATCAGGTTTTACACCTATTTCAAATATTGAAGTCTGCATGTGTATGAAGGAATATGGTGACGTAAGACACAGGGATTCAACATTCATTGACAAACAAATGCTTGTTTTTGAATTTAGTATCTGTTTCTAAACATTGTGAAATTATAATTTACACAGTTCCAATGGAATCAGTGAAAATATTTTCAAAATGAAAAGCTATTTATATAGTGACATAAATGACCCTACCTGTCTATATCATCAAACAAGCGTTTGGTACTTTTTTCTGTAATAGATTAATATCAAATTCACTAATAATTCATAATGTCAACACAATGGAAAATCATCGCTGTGACTGCATCTTTATGTGCGCAAGAAATTTGTCATGATTCGCATACAACAAATAACTTTGACTTTCTTTTACAAATGATATTTTTTTATGTCAAATATGACATAAGCTAAATATAAAATATTTACGTTGATCTCTATGTGCTATAAAACTGCTTGCTTGCAGCTCACAGTTTTATAATCATGCCCATAAAGGTCTTATATTTAATATATTTACAAAAAATAAATATCAGACAATAATCAAGCTGCCAACAGCAACACAACTCGAAGATTCTTAGAAAAGTGTACCGTGGACATAAATCTGTATGAAGCCTCAGACTTTGTTTAGATATGGTAATTTTGACAAAAAAATCTATAAATTTTCAACGTCGAAACGTCGTAAAAATCACTTGTTGTCTTTATCGTTTATTTTACTACTGAATGAAAATATTGAACTTGAAATTTTGAGTTTAATTTAAGGAATAAAAGACGAAATTCCGTGTTTGATACTCTGATCAAAACACGCGGGATGTAGGGAGAGCACGAGAGAAGCGTAGGAAACCACGACGCGTAGCGGAATTCCGTCTTTTATTTCTTTTCTAAAATTAAAAGAATAAAAGAAATTTTTGACGCGCGCGAGCGTGTTTTGATACTGTAATCAAACATGGTTTTCGACCAATCACAGCGCGCGTAGTATCCTAAGTATTTTAGAAAACTTAATTATGCATCCGTAACACCTTAAAATATATCGACAATGAATTATCAACACCATAACAATTTCATAGTTTGAAGTGATGATACCTTTGAGTGCTCACCGTTAAAATTTATATTTTGAGTTCTTACTTGTTGTAGTGTCGTCCGTGCATCGATTTTTTATGAAGGATAAAGTTTATRTGAATCGATGAGCATTAAATACTATTTGATGTGGATCATAATAGAATGCTGTATCTATGAGTCATATTGACACAATATCTTCTAAAACGACTTCTGAAGTCAACAGATTAATTGGTAAGAAGCTTATGCAAGAACGTCCAGACCTCAAAAATCACATTTTGTGTGTTTAAAAAGCCATTTCTGTATCAAAACACCTGGCCATCTTGGTTACGGCTTTCTAAATACCTGTATGTTTACAGAAAAAAATAGTGACTTATTAACTGAGTGACTGACTGAGAGTGACAGATCCATCCCCCTACAATAACTCTTCGATTGCTTCACAATCTTTGAGTTAAAAAGGTCMTCAGTTCCACACGAATCCAAGAACCTCCAAGTGATTGTTTGTTTTGCTTCAAAAATCATGTTGTTGGTGTAAACTTGCTTATACTTATTCGTTCACAAACAAAATAGCTTTTTTATACAGTATTCATAAGGAAATCACAGGTTCTCTGATGCTTTATAACACTGTAAATGACAGTACAATCAACGCTGGTTTGGAAAATCATAGAATTTCATGTATATCAGCACATTCTCAATAAACTGTCTTTTCAATGCAATAGTTAAATTAAAATACTTTAAATTTAASACTAGAGTGGACATACTAAATCCGTGAAACAAATAGTACTAATTAATAATAAATAGTGTTAATTAGACATTCTAAAATATTTAGGATACTACGCGCGCTGTGATTGGTCGAAAACCATGTTTGATTACAGTATCAAAACACGCTCGCGCGCGTCAAAAATTTCTTTTTTTCTTTTAATTTTAGAAAAGAAATAAAAGATGAAATTCCGTGTTTGATACTCTGATCAAAGCACTTGGGATGTAGGGAGAGCACTCGAAAAGCTGGAAACCACTCCGCTACACGTCATGGTTTCCTACGCTTCTCTCGTGCTCTCCCTACATCCCGCGTGTTTTGATCAGAGTATCAAACACGGAATTTCGTCTTTTATTCCTTAAATAAAATACAAAGGAGTTCAGCTTATTTAAAATTATTATACTATTTAACTTTCACGGATTAAGTGAGTTCACTCTAAGAAAAGGTTTATTATCATAAAAAATATAAGTTAGTTTACCACAAGTAAAAGATGTAAAAAATGGTTTACAGCAAAGATGTTGGTGACAATGACAATGATGTCATGATGGCCATACAATACCAAGACAGAAAAACAAGAGGTAAATGTCAACAAGTTAGAAGTTAGCAAAGCCAATTTGGCAAAAATAWACTTGAGAGAGAGAAGCAAAGCAGAGATCCTTACCATCCGATTCTTTTATAATAATTTGAAGTCCTCTGGTTTGACTTGGTTTAACACTTGAAATTTTTGCATCCTGACAAAAATATAGCAAAAACGAAAAACACACTRAAAACATGACAGTAGAGGTATTGTTTCACAGTAGGATGAAAATGACTTTAAAATATTGCGATTGGGAATGGTATTTTTCTATTTCTTGTCCATTAGATATCTATTTAATAGAGCTAAAACAATATTCTAATGAGTAATTTGTAAGCTTACATATTTTATTAAGTTATTCTGTTTACTAAAAGTAGACAAGAAGAGAAAATTGGCATACCTTTACCTAAGGTAATAAAGAAGAGTATTTTCGCCTTCCTTTTGGAATTGGTATTCAACTAAGAAGGCGATTTGGAAGTGGGATACCCTCTTCTCAGGGACCTCTTTGAAACATGTTAGAAAATGCCCACTCAAATCGATCGATAGCAGAACGTCATTTACATAACATACCTTATCAACCTTTACCACACTTATGCCATTGCAAATCCATTCAGTTTTACTTGGGTCTATCTTGCCTCCTCTTGTCCATATTCCGATACATGTTTCTCGCCATTGTTTTGGTTTTTTATCGTCTTTATTTGTCTCGTCACCTTCGTCATCCGCCATGTTTTTTTTTTACTAGCTACCAGTCCCAACTCGATGATATTTGTACGCAGGAAACCCCTCAATTGGGCACTTCCCATCAACGAGCATGCATTGGATARCTATATTTTATCCACTCAATTAGCCCTTCTAGGCATATGGATTAGGCAACAAGATCAAGTTTAGAGATTATTGAATCGGACGTTTTTT